AGCGATCATATCTTTGGTCAGGAACCCAATAGGCCTACTGCGGCAAGTGAAATGGCTCGGTCACGCGTCCTGCTAGCCAGACGGTGACCTCAACGGTTCCGTTCTGACCTCGCGCCGACTGCTTGACTGAATAAGTAAGTGAACGTGTAGAAAAGCGACATCGAGCGTATCGGTGATCCTCCCGTCACTGTTGTCGGCAGCAGGCGTGCCAAGTAGTCCACTCTAAATAGCATATGCCGACCGGCTGTGCATGTGACCTGGCGCCGGTCAAACCATTACTGATAAATATCCTCAGATTAATGAGACTTGCGACTTGTGTGTCCTCATTGAATTGGGACTAAGTAAATGTAAGGTTGCTGAACACAAGATAATAGTCTAGTTGTTAGCGCGGCAGTCCAGTAATTGTGTAATTACAGACTAAGATCCAGCTACCACCTCAATTTCCGGCTGCATAAATCCATGACCTTCTGTTGACTAAAAACACAATTCACTTATATTCTGATACGAAGCAATATGTCAAAATGCTGAGAGGACCTATCGCATGATTAGTCTGTAGGACTGCAACCGGCTGGGAGACAAATAGCAGTGTCATTAGTCCGGGGATTAATTCCGGGCCTAGATGGGAGAAGGGAAAAGTCATCACGAGCGCACCTAGCCTAACTTAATCGAAACCGGTGAAAAATGGAGGAAATTTCTGAGCTAGAAATAGTGCGGCATGAGGCACCGATGAGAACTCTAGAAAAGAACTTTATCGGTATAACAAAGTCAAGTGATATAGAGGTAAGTCCAGCGAATCAGTCAAAATCCTTGTGGACCAGACACACTTGTCAAGGTTGGTTGGATAAATTAGAATTTTGGAAAATTACGCACAGGAATATTGTCACGAAACAAGAAAATGGGATAAAAGTAACCTAACGTTGTCCAAATGTCAAAAGCCTGTGCACTTTTCGCCCAAATATATATTTAGGGTTGGGTTATTGATAGCACGCCCGTCACAAGCAGAAAAGAGTGCCACCGACTCCGAGGGGGGCGGAATAGTGACCTGCAGGCTTCTGTACCGTCTACCTCACAATATTTTCCAGCATCTACCATGTCCAAATGCTAAGGCAAAGTCAAGACAACTGAACATGCTAAATATATATCATTGTGTGCTGTTCAGTAACCCAGGCAAACAAGTTTTCAAAGAAGTCGGTCTCAGATCTCGCGTGAGTGAATGTCATAAAGGCGATAGTAAAAAGGAGCCATTACAGCCTGGCCGCTGCTCCAAAGAACACAGTTAATCCATCGGTCGGCAGCCTGCAAGCCTCGACCACTAAATAATAGTGATAAGCTGAAAGCGCGTTCAGAAGTCGACCACAGCCTCCTCTTCCCTTATCGTGCGCCAGTAGCCAGGTTGAGCCAATCAGCGGGCCGGTTATGTGATTAGATGCAGCGACTGAAGTTGCATCTGATTTTGCCTAGCGCGTGTTATAAAAGTGTACAACAAGAGTCAGGCTTTCAGCAAGACCTGGCTAGCAAGAACCATGAGCCAGTGAGGCCACTCGTTGTCGTTCCTCATGGTAGCCAGTGACTGACGTGAAAGAAGTTGAGAGGCGGCTCAGCCGAACACTACAAAAATCGATAATTTCAACCTGAAATAAGTCGTGTCAACTCGACTAGTAGAGAGTACCTTAACCAGTTGAATGGGGGCTTAGAGCAAAAACATTGTTACGGAAGACATTACGTACTTGTAGACAGGAAGCATAATGGGCAGGGGTCTGGCCAAATGCGGTGCAATGTCAAGAAGATTGGCCCTCTCCCTCAATGCCTCACGCACCATATTGAACTGTTCAAGGTCCAGATTGAAGACAGCCTTTTGCAGATAGCGTACACCGCCATGGATAAGCTTTGTGGAACGACTAGAGGTGCCCGAAGCGAAGTCCTGCTTTTCAACCAGACATGTTGTGAGACCTGCAAATAGGAAAGAAACATAAAGTATTTAATTTTGTAGTCATAACTGGCGTTTTCTGA